CGTCAGAAGTCATATTCTGACATGCGGCGACGAGATTTTAAAGTTCGGGGTTGATGATGATTGGGTATTCTTAAAGGTGTCACCTATGAAAGGTGTGATGAGGTTTGGCAAGAAAGGCAAACTTAACCCACAGTATATTGGGCCTTATAAGATCATTCGGAGAGTGGGCCAAGTAGCTTATGAGTTAGAATTGCCCTCGGAATTGGAGTCTGTCCATCTGATTTTTCACGTATCTATGTTACGGAAGTACATTGACGATTCTACCCGAGTGGTGCCCACGGATGATGTACACATTACAGAGGACTTGTCATACAAAGAAATTCCGGTTGCCATCCTAGACCGACAAATCCGCAAGCTGCGAAATAAGGAGGTAGCCTCCGTAAAAGTACTTTGGAGGAACAACAATGTGGAATAAATGACTTGGGAGGCCGAGGAAGACATGAAGTCTAGATATCCCTACTTATCTCCTCCTCCAAAGAAGGGTCCGACTAAAGCATCATAACCATAAGGTACGTGTACAAATTCTTTTGTTGGTTATTGTCATTGGTCGTGTGAGGCCATTGTCGTTATTGATAATTGTGGTCCTGTGTAGTGTTGGATTATTAAGCTTCTATAGGGAGAGTTGGTAGTGGTGTTGTTACAAAGGCGACCCTGCCAAAGTTATATAGATCACGGGGAGTTGAACATTTGAGGCCGAATGTTTCTAAGGGGGGAAGAATATTACACCTCGCATTTTCGTACGTTAAAAGTTTCTTCTTCAATTAATTGACACAGAATCGGGGATGAGATTATCTTAAGATTAACGTATCTACGCTATTTAAAACAAACGATAAATAAGTGTCATGAAAGATAACGGGTATACGAATTAAAGAAAACGAGTTTCGTTGAAAGTGGCCAATTTGGGATAAAATACGAGTCGAGCGATAATACCCGATAATTATAGACTAGTGCCATGCAAGTACTATATGACCACAGTTGTACGATGTATAAAGTATATTAAAAATAAATAGAATTTTAAGTAATTCGAGATAATTTTTAAATTATGCGGGTAATTAATTAATTACCGGGTAACAGGACATTACCCAGTTAATTAATAAATGGATAAAAATTTATAAATTAGACCCATCTAAAATGTGGCAAAAGACCACCATGACCAAAAAATGACTCATTAGTCATTATGCCATGTGGCTATGTAAGAGCTCATTGAATATATAACCAAATAAGACTTGTAATTAGGATAAGAGATTGATAACTCATTCTGGATATATCCATTCTAGTTCAAGGAAAACGGTAGCATCAGAAGCAAAATTCGTTTCAAATTTCAAAAAAATCCAAGAAAAATTTCGTTCAACATTCAAAGAAGCAGAAGCTTCATTCTTTTCGTTCACCATATTTTACAGAAGCAGAACTTCATTTCGTTCAATAATTCAAGGAACAAGCATAATTCCATCAAAAGTTTGCGGTTTCAAAAGAGTACGGTGCAATCTTCAAGAATATTATACGATGTTTTCCTTACTCCAGGTATGTTAACGCCATCCCTTCTTTCTTTTTGACATGATCCAAGTTATACAGAAGAAACGAGCAAACGCACGGTTTCATAAACGACTCTATTCATAGAAATACTAGGAGTCTCTTTATTCTTGATTCCCTATATGATATATTATTATATCTCCTGTTCATGGGTCTCAGAATAATACGCAGCTGAAAAAAGGTTATCCGGAAAGAATATTGAGATTATTACATATTTTCATGCATGTCATTCATTTATACATGTACATTGACCCATGACCAGATGACATTATATACGCGTATTTATATGTAAATATATGTATATGGGATATGGGAAAAGGTTACGACGTTATATACGCACCACCACCTGATCAATTGATATATGTTGATGATGTTGCCACAATGGCCGAGACGATATGATGGGATGCCCTCAATGGCTTGATGATATAATGTACACCCATACCTATGCATGACATGACATTTATACGCACGTGCATGACATTATAAATATTTTAGAATTTATAAAGTTATTAAGATTTAAAGACGTGTTTCTATATTTCATGTTTCATCTATGTCTTTTACGTACTAATTTTTATACCTTATATACTCAGTACATTTTTAGTACTGATACCCTATTTCACGGGGCCTGAGTTTTATGCCCGCAGGTGCAGGTAGGCAAGCTGACGGTCCCCCTTCTTAGGATCCCTGATCAGCGAGAGTTGGCATGCTCCACTTGATCCAGAGCTGCTTTTGATTTTGGTACGATATGTTTATATATATATGGGTATGACATGGCTCATTCCCATCTTTGTACATTTATATTTCCATTAGAGGTCCGTAGACAGTATGTCTAGTTGGGTTGTATGTAGCCTTGTCAGCTTTCAGTTATTGGATGTATAGTTGTCTATAGCAGCCTTGCCAGCTCGTCTACTGTATTCTGCATGTATACGTACATATGCCTTGTTGGCAGGTTTCCTTCATGTACGTTATTTTCGTAATTCAACAGATGTTATACAGGTTCATATCCTAGACGCATGCTTAGGGGTGTTTGACAGGTAGGACTCAGGCACTCGTCGCGGCCCATCGATTTGGGTCGTGACAATATAGATGCTACTCTACTTCTTGTGCGCATGCACCTCCCAAAAGTGATACCTGCAAAACACGCAAACACCCACAGAACCAAGAGAATAGGGGGAGAAAAAACCTAGAAATGAAAACCAATATCTTCTTCAGAATATCTTTAAAAGCCAAAATCCCTTTTATATCTTTTTGAGATCACTTTTAAAAGAAGAGAAAAAACACACGGAAACGAAAATCAGTATATTTTTGGAAAATATTCCTTTAGACAAGGCAAATTTTCAGAAAATTACAGCAAGTACGAATAGCTTTACGCAGCTCCGTTTGTGGTAGGAAAAAGAAGAGATGGAGATTATGGGCAGAGATTGAGGGATTTTGAGGTAGATGAATCCCAGATACATCGCTTGTAAGTGAACACATTTCTTACGGTAGTATTAAAAACGTACGGGCTTGGAAAGTTAATATACTAATTGTGTATAAAAATTGTTAAAGAAAGTAGGGTATTTGGGAAAAACTACTAAACCTAGAGAAAATTGGTAATAAAGTCTTTATTATATTATTACTAGGAAAAAATCCCGAATTTCAATGATATGTTTCTCCCATTCTTCTTGTTTTTTTGACTTCCCTACAATTCACACACACACTACATACATACATATTTATATAAGTAACAATTCCTGTAATTCAGGAGTGCTAATTTGCCCGTCATTTTTGTCCCGTTTGAGAATACACTAAGAGATATGAGGTAGTCAAGACTGTGATAATTCTAAAATTTTCAGTTTAACATCAAGTGCTAATATGAATGTATTATTTCCCAGAAAAGTCAACAATATAGATAACTCCACTCGTGTAAACTCCGTTTCTAATGGTAAAAAAAGTACAGGATACCTTTAATCTCTCCCCATGACTTGTCTATACCTAAAGTAAAAATTGAGCTTCTTGTAAACACGCTTCTTGAAGAATCATTAACTGTTATCAAAACTTTATAAGTCTTTTCTTCTGGTTCAAAACCTATTGAATAGAAATACTTGGGGTATCTCATTTCAGCAACCTCTTTTAGACGAGGAATAGATCTTGCTACTCTTGTACTAGGATTGCGAATTGCAACATGCTCCAGATGTCCGCCGAGCAACAAAACAAGCCATTAACACACATTATATGGTGGTACAAGAGATGCTCCAAAATTCTCAATACGAACACAAGAGGTTTTCTCTTTTTCTTTTTGCTCCATACCGTAAAAATTTAACCTTAGGCACACAATGACACTTGTACGAATTATAAAGCGTCAATGATGTATATCCATGAAAACTGATTCTGATATAAGTGAATTACAAAATCTGAAAACGCACTTGAAACACATTAAAGACTTAACAGAAAGTTATGAGAATATTTCAGAGATTATTTCTCGGAGAATTGACAGTTTTCTCGATTCATGTTCTTCTCCGTCCAGAAACTTGCAAAAAATAATTTGTGCAATAACAAATCTTCTTCATGTTTGTGGCCTTCGTTTGCTAGAAAATACACGCATTGATTTGCCACTCTTCAAATTTGTACTAGAGTAGCTTTGATCACTCCCTTTAAATATCTACAATCTCGATGTACTTTTTTTAATAAAAGCCTTTACTTATTAACAAAGAAAATATCTATAATCTCGATAATGACCTTAAGAGAATGAGATTTTAATTGTATATTCTACTCTTTGATAAGCTTGATAGCAAGTAGGCAATTCACCTCCTATTTTAATTCTTTGTAACCCTTTTCTTTTGCTATTTTCATACTTTATTTGATTTTCCATAGTTTTATAATGAGATCTATGTAAGTTTTTTTTTTTTTCACATGTGTATCCCAAAGTCCAGTTTACTCCAGTTTCCTTGGTCATCTTAAATCACCCCAAAAGCATTTTCCTATTGAACTTTAGGGACCTACAATTTCCTCTTAATAAGAATTCTAAATACTATCAACATTAATGGTATTTTTAAATAGTCCTACAATTTCTTAGCAATTTGCAATTGAAATTCTTAACTTAAATAAGTAGTGAGAAGTGAGGAACTGAGGATATCAGTTGGTTGGCAAATAGTTGCACAGCAGCAAGCTGGTAACTGGGTTTCTTGCCACAGAAAACACATATGCGCTTGAATCTTTAGGGCTTTAATTTGTAGGCGAGGAGAAGGAAGAAATTGAATAATCTCAGTTCCTACTTGCTTAAGAAATGAGCCGCATCTGCAAAAAATTCGCCGCTGATGGGGATCGAATCCGGGTCACCCGCGTGACAGGCAGGAATACTTACCACTATACTACAACGACTTCGTTGTCTGCGTGCTATTCTCACGAATTATGAACAAATCTGACAAGCCGTCCCGGAGCCTCGTTTTATTATCCCTAACCCAGTTGGAAAATTGCTTTCGATTCAAAGCATGACAAACCTTTGGCGCCATTCCTACACAAAGCTACTTTCACAGCTTTCTCAAACAAAGTCTTTAAACCCAGTTCTTCAAATCCAAACCCATTTAACCAAAATTGGATTATCTAATGATAGCAAACATAGAAACCATTTAATTAATCTGTATTCGAAATGTGGCGCTTTTGACTATGCATGGAAACTGCTTGATGAAAGTCCTGAACCAGATTTAGTTTCTTGGTCATCTTTGATTTCTGGGTATGCTAAGAATGGTTTTGGTAAAGATGCTATCTGGGCTTTCTTCAAAATGCATTCTTTGGGTCTTAAATGTAATGAGTTCACTTTTCCTAGTGTGCTTAAAGCATGTTCTATTGGGAAGGAACTTTTCTTGGGTAAGCAGATTCATGGGATTGTTGTGGTCACCGGATTCGAGTCTGATGTTTTCGTTGCGAATACTTTGGTTGTTATGTACGCGAAATGTAGCGAGCTTCTTGACTCGAGGATGTTGTTTGAGGAAATCCCGGAAAGAAATGTTGTTTCTTGGAATGCTTTGTTTTCTTGTTACACACAGAATGATTTTTTCAGCGAGGCGATGTGCATGTTTGGGGATATGATAGTTAGTGGAGTCAGGCCCGATGAATATAGTTTATCCAACATACTGAATGCTTGTACTGGGTTAGGAGATATTGTTCAAGGAAAGAAAATTCATGGGTGTTTGGTGAAGCTTGGCTATGATTCTGATCCTTTCTCGTCTAATGCACTCGTTGACATGTATGCTAAAGGGGGAAATCTAAAGGATGCCATTACATTTTTTGATGAAATTGTGGTACCTGACATTGTTTCGTGGAATGCTATTATTGCTGGTTGTGTTCTTCATGAATGTCACCACCAGGCTATAGATATGTTGAATCAGATGAGAAGTTCAGGAATTTGGCCAAATATGTTCACATTGTCGAGTGCTCTCAAGGCTTGTGCTGCACTGGAGCTCCCTGGATTGGGTCAAGGGTTACACTCTCTTTTGATAAAGAAAGATATCATACAGGATCCATTTGTGAGTGTTGGCCTTATCGATATGTATTGCAAGTGCGATTTAACCAAGGACGCGAGGCTGATCTATGATCTGATGCCCGGGAAGGACTTAATTGCGTTGAATGCTATGATCTCTGGTTGCTCACAGAATGAGGCAGACAATGCATGTCTAGACCTTTTTGTTCAGACATTCACCCGAGGAATTGGATTTGATCAGACAACTTTACTTGCCGTCCTAAACTCTGCTACTGGTTTGCAGGCTCCTAACGTCTGCAAACAAGTTCATGCACTTTCTGTGAAGTTGGGATTTCAGTGTGACACCTTTGTCATAAACAGTCTTGTTGATTCTTATGGAAAATGTAGCCAGCTGGATGATGCAGCTACAATTTTTGACGAGTGCCCTACTCCGGATTTGCCATCTTTTACCTCTCTCATAACAGCTTATGCTCTACTTGGTCGAGGTGAAGAAGCCATGAAACTATATCTGAAGCTACAGGGCATGGGTCTCAAGCCAGACTCATTTGTTTGTAGTTCTCTCCTAAATGCATGTGCAAATCTATCAGCATATGAACAGGGGAAACAAATACATGCTCATGTGTTGAAGTTTGGGTTCATGTCAGATGTGTTTGCTGGTAACTCTCTAGTTAACATGTATGCTAAGTGTGGAAGTATAGAGGATGCTAACTGTGCTTTCAGTGAGGTTCCTAGAAAAGGTATTGTTTCATGGTCTGCAATGATTGGAGGACTTGCCCAACATGGATATGCGAAAAAGGCACTTCATTTATTTGGTGAGATGCTGAAAGATGGTGTATCTCCCAATCACATAACATTAGTTAGTGTTCTTTATGCATGTAACCATGCTGGGTTAGTTGAAGAAGCCAAGAAGTATTTTGAAACAATGAAAGACTCGTTTGGGATTGAACCAACTCAAGAGCATTATGCATGC